AGCCTGCAGATCAGATATTGACATGACGATTCCTAACAGTAGCAACATGACAGTGATGAAGTAGCAACGAAAATCATTTTACGGTTGGGTCACCACATGAGGAACTGTATTTAAAGGGCCAGAAGGTTGAGAACCACTGCTCTAGGGTCACCAGAGCCTGGTTTTCTCAAGCTGGTTTGAGCCATTTATTTGGCTCCCCCACAGAAGTGTCTGTGTTCACAGCTAGGGCCACTCTGACCTTCACCCCTCCCTGTCCCCACCAGTGCATCGTGAGCGTGGCTGGCGGGGCCACTCGGGCTGCACTGACCATGCACCAGGCCCGGAGAAACAACATGGCCGACGTGTCAGCCAAGGACGGCAGCCAGGTAAGCGGCCGGGCTGAGGGGGCGGGGGTGGGCAGCGCAGGCCAGGTCACAGCTTGGGAGTGTGGAGGGAAGCACCTGAGCGCTCCTGGGGGAGGGGTGGGAGACCAGCGGGAAGAAATGTGGGTGCTCCTGCTCTGACTTCCAGGACGGGTGGTCCGGTGTGAGGGCACGGGCTCTGGGGGCAGTAAGTCCAAGCTGGTCACCCCGGCCTCTGCCCATCGCCCCTGTGGCAAGAATAAGCCCTGGCCCTGGCCCTCTTTAGGCCGTGCCCCCACTCTGGGAGGAGGACCTTCTGATCATGTGAGGCCCACAGGTTAAAGCTCGTGGCAACTCAGAAAGTGCTCAGCATGCGAGGTGCCTGGGGTCACTGGCCAGAGGCACCCACTCAGCAGTTTGGAGGCCTCTGGCCCAGCCCCTCAGCTGACCGGGAGCCTGGAGTAGGGGTGCCGCCACCCCCACAGGCTGAACACTACCGTCCCCCTTGGTCCTCATGCTAAGTGCTTAAGTATATTGCATCATGTAACTCTCACTCCGACCCTATGAGGTCCATGTTGTTACTCTCCCTGAACATGTCCCAGGTCGCCCTATGTTGTGTTACTGCCTCTGTGGGTGGAGGAAGCCGGGAGCCTTGGGAAGTACAGCTTGGGGCGGGGGAGGCTGAGGGGTTAGAAGGAGAGTCGATGAGAGAAAAGTGCAGTCCAGGGGTGTCAGAAGTGTGACAGGTTTTCTCTGACACTGAAGCAATCTAGAACCCTCTCTCCTCTCCAGTTCTACTTTCTGGCCTTCTCTTAAATTGTTTTGTTCAGTTTCTAAATAGAACTTTTTTAAAAAATACATTTTTATTGATTTCAGAGAGGAAAGGAGCGGGAGAGAGAAACATCATTGATGAGATGAGAGAGAATCATTGATCAGCTGCCTCTTGCACGCCCCCTACTGGGGATCGAGCCCACAACCCGCACATGTGCGCTGACTGTGAGGTCGATACTCAACCACTGAGCCACACCAGCTGGGCAAATTTGCCCTTTTGTGACCACCAAGAAAACACTTCCCCCACACTGTGGACATTTACTTGCCTAAGCATAGAACTACTCAGCTGACTCCTGCAAAACAAAGAAAATGTTTCAAGGGCACTATCTGCCAGAGCAGCAGCTGGCATCTTTTTTTGATTGTTTGTTAATCCGCACCTGAGGATATTTTTTTCATTGAATTTTAGAGAGAGTGGAAGCGGGGGAGGGGGGCATTGATGAGAGAGACACATCCATGGATTGCCTCCCATACACCGACCAGGGCTGGGGATTGAACCTGGAACCCAGGTACTGAACCCAGGTACGTGATTGACCAAGAATCAAACCAGTGACCCGACGCTCTAACCACTGAGCACACCGGCCAGGGTGCAGCTGGTGTCTTTTAAATGACGGTGCACTCACTAAAGATGTTGAAAATTTACCAGGCACCCTCCCCTCCGTGTGTGGAGCCCTGGGTGGTTCTGGGACTGGGAGGGATGTTGTGAAAGGCACTCAGGGACGCTCAGTCTGGCCTGCAGGGGAGCCGAACCCTCCAACTCCCACCCGTCTGCCATTTTCCAGGAGACACTGGTAAACCTGGCAGGGCTCCTGGTCAGCCTCCTGATGCTTCCCCTGGTGTCAGATTGCCCTAGGTAAGCGAGGGCACGCGAGGGACGGAGGTGCCCGGCTGGGCCTCTGTCCCTGCCGACCGCCTCGTGCTCTCGTTCCAGCTTCAGCCTTGGTTGTTTCTTCCTCCTCACTGCCCTCCACGTCTACGCCAACTACCGGGCCGTCCGAGCCCTTGTCATAGAGACCCTGAACGAAGGCCGGCTCTGGCTGGTCCTGAAGCACTTCCTTCAGCGGGGGGAGGTGCTTGACCCCACCTCAGCCAATCAGATGGAGCCGCTGTGGACAGGTGACCCACCCCTTGGTCTGAAGTTTTATGTCTCTCAGTCTGTCCTCCTGCCTGGGACTCCTGACTCCAACTTCCCACAGGTTTCTGGCCGTCTCTGTCTCTGTCCTTGGGGGTCCCCCTACATCACTTGGTTTCCAGGTAAGTAGCCCAGTGTCCCACTCATCACTACTGGCCCCCCACTCCCCACACATGCGCCTCATTCCAGTTACACGCTGGCCTTCCTTGACCAGACCCCCCTCTGCTCGGGGTCCTTATTTCCACTGAACAGACTTGGGGTCAGCATGGGTGCTTGAGTGCAGTGGGTGTGTAACGGAGAGGAGATATAAAGGGTATATTTGTACCCTAGCAGGTTGTTCACTGATCAAGTGGTCAGAGCATCTGCCCTTGGACTGAGAGTCACTGGTTCAATTCCAGTCAAGGGCTTGTACCGCCATTGCAGGCTCGATCCCTGGCCCCTGTTGGGCATGTGCCAGGCAGCCAATCAATATAGCTCTCTCACATCGATGATTTTCTGTCTCTCCCCCTCCCTTCCACTCTCCCTAAAAAATCAATGAAAAAAAAAACACACAAACCCTTGGGTAAGGATTAACAAAAAAAAAAGGTTGTATTTGTTGGATAAAGGAATAATGGGTGGAGGGGCAAATGGATGGCTAGATGCAGAAGGGAGGGCAGCTGTGGGGTGCGTGAGGAGTGGCTAAGGGATGGTGGGAAGTGGGTGAAGGACATGAAGAGGCAGTTATGGCTCACAGGTGGCTGTTCATTTGGCTGGGTGGTTACCTGCCTTTGCTTTCTCCTCCCCACCGCACTCCCTTTCCTTCAGTGTCGCTGAGCTGCAGCAGCTGGCTGAGGGACACCAAGAACCTTACCTGCTTCGCTGGGACCAGTCTCAGAGTAAGTGTCTCCCGCCTAGGGGCGGCTCCCACTCCTCCAGCTCCAGGCCCGCAAGCCCTGCACAGTTTGGAGCCCGCCTGGTGCCCTGCAGCCAGCTCTTGGCTAAGACTCCACGTGTCCAATTATAGCTGCAGGCCCCAGGGGCGTTCCCTTTGCTGCTCTGTACAACGGAGCCAACGTGCCTGCCTTTTTCCTGCAGTGTGTTTGGAGGATCAGATCAGGTGATACGTAAGAGCACTGTGTACACTGCAACACACTTACTCAGATAAGGCAGTTCCCTTTAGATGTCCCAGGAGGACCACTTTTCTCTCATCCCAAGTCACTCCTTGAGGAAAAAAGTACTAAAGTTTACTGTTGTGCTGGCCGTATGTTAAAAGGTGCTTATTCTCACGAGCCATTAAAAACATGCAAAATAAACCCACCTCCGTGAGCCGCAGTGACGTTGCATTTGGAAAGTGGGCATTTCAGTCTGGCCAGAGCATTGGGGGCAGGAGGAGGTGACGTTGGGGAGGAAAGGGGAGACGCCTTCCACACCAGCCAAGGCCTCGGGCAGACAGGGATGAAGCGAGGTCATGGGATCAAGAGTGTTTGGGGAGGTGGCCTTCCATCCCTGGTACCAGTCTGTCCCTGGGTCTCCAGATCAGGTACAGGTCGTGCTGAGCCAGGAGGCCGGCCCTGAGACCGTCCTAAGGGCCGCGACACACGGGCTGGTGCTCGGAGCCCTGCGGGAAGACGGGCCCCTCCCAAGAGAGCTGGGCGAGCTGAGGAGCCAGGTGCGGGCAGGTAAGAGCCTCTCAGCCTAGGCTGCTGGTGACTCCAGGGGTGGAGAGAGGCTGTTCGGCCTGGGGACCCAGGAACTCTTCTGCGTCCCCATCCAGGCCCTAACACAGAGAGCTGGGTCATCGTCAAGGAGACACACCAGGTGCTGGACAAGCTTTTCCCACAGTTCTTGAGAGGTAACAGCCTGCAGGCTCTCAGCCTCTGAGCCTTCTCCCCAGGGCCCTGCCTGCCCCGCCCCCTCCACCTGGGGCGAGGTAGATCTGGTTCTCTGTGAGCGGAAGTGTGGGCCTCAGTTTCTGCAGGATGGAGGTTAGGATGGTCCCTGAGGCTGTCAGTGCTGCCTCTGTATGTAGTCCCAGTTGACCCTGAAGAACCAGGGTGAAAGGGGGCTCACAGAGGACTGGGGCCGATCTTTTATTAGCTGCTGTTCCATCCCACCCTTCTCCATGGCTAGCTCAGTGAGTCCCCGCTGCATCAGATGAGGTGTTAGCCTCATTTTTAGCCAGAGGTCACCCAGCAGAGGCCAGGGAAGCCAGAGCAGGGCATAAGACCTGCACCCAACCTGTGCCACTCCTTACCACCCTCTCCAGGGTCAGTCCAGCCTCCTCCCCAGCGGCCCTCTAGTACCAATACCCCCATGACCTCTCCCCAGGGCTGCAGGATGCGGGCTGGGAGACTGAGAAGCACCAGCTGGAGGTGGATGAGTGGAGGGCCACATGGCTCCTGTCTCCAGAAAAGAAGGTCTTGTGAGCAGCCCAGATGGAGCCTGAAGCAAGAGCATTGGCTACAGGATGTGGGAAAGGCAGCTTTATTTTTCACGGGGGAACGGCTGTGGCAGATTGGCCGGGGCCTCGGGAGGTAACTGCCTGCCAGATGGCTTGGGCCCCAGACAGGGACAAGGTAGAGAGAAGGGGAATCACGGCCTTCCTCCTGCCCTGCCTGTGGCTCAGGGTGCCCGGCACAGTCAGCCTCAGGCATAAAAGCCCCAGAGGAAGGTGGCCACGGCCATCATGAGCAGGGCGTTAAGGTTGACCACACGGGCCCAGTGCGGGTCCTCACTGATGTCCTCCAGCCGCCTGGCTGCCGCATCCACCTCCTCCTGGGTGGGGGGTGGGGGACTGCCTGCCCCGCCCCTGCCCATCCCACAGAACCAGAGCAGGCACCGGCGGAGCAGGCCTGGTGCCGGAGGTGGGGGCTCTGGGAGAAATTGAAGCCCAACAGTTAGTGTGAGGGAACTTGCCCCCCTCAGCTCTGCAGCCCCACCTCCTGGGCGGTGCCTCACCCTCCATCTCCACCGTGTGCTCCAGATGCCCGTTCTGTACCGGGGCTGAGGCCGGACCTTCCAGCTCCTCAGCATCCAGGTCCTCCCGCTCCTCCTTGCTGTGCCGGAGACTGAAAACCAGGCGGTGGAGCTGGGGAGAGGTGGGAGCAGGGACCAAATGGGGGTTCTGTTCCCCACCTCAGGCCCTGATGCCTCCTGTCCACACTGGCACGTCCTATCCTCCCCCTTCCCTGCGTGTACACAGCCCAGGCTCAGTCACTCAAACATGGTCTTTGGCTGCCCTTTCCCCTCGGGCTAAACCAAGCTCCTCAGTTGGGTGTTTAAAGCTCTCGGCCCCACTTCACCTAGAGGCTCCTGTCCGCTCCAAACTGTATTCCGCAGTCTCCAGGCTCAGTCCTGGCTGTCCCTCCCTGCGGGTATTTGCTCAGGTTTCCTCCCGTGGCCTTCCCCCCACTTCTCCGCCCGTGGAATCCCGTCCATCTTGCTGGCCCCCAACCAGCCCTGCCCTGGGCACTTGCCCTGCAGCACAAGACCAAGCCCTGTTGTGGGCTTTCAGGAAAGTGTCCTGTCCCTCAGCCACCATCAGCCTGTTTTGAGTCCCAAAGGCCAGGCCAAGGATTTTGGGAACTTGAATCACCTCCCCTACAATCTTCAAGCTATCTCCCCCAAACCACCTCAAATAAATGTCGTTAAATAAAAACATTGTGATGGCCGAAGCGGGTTTGGCTCAGTGGATAGAGCGTCGGCCTGCAGACTGAAGGGTCCCAGGTTTGATTCCAGTCGGGGGCATGTGCCTGGGTTGCGGGCACATCCCCAGTAGGAGGTGTGCAGGAGGCAGCTGATCGGTGTTTCTCTCTCATCGATGTTTCTAACTCTCTATCTCTCCCTTCCTCTCTGTAAAAAATCAATAAAATATATTTTAAAAAATAAAAAAATAAATAAAAACATTGTGATGGCTTTGCAAATGCGACTTCAAACTGGACTCCCCGCCTGCCCTCATCAGCCCTCAGTATAGGAAACCAGGTCCTCTCCACTGGGTGGGCCTGGGAGCTACTGGTGAACAGCGGAGAGGGCCACGCTGGCCCACGTGGCACATGCTTGGTGGCCGCACGGAGGCGACACCTACGTGCTTGCGCGGGATGGGCGCTGTGCACAGTGAGATGACGATGGTGAGGAGGCCCGAGCAGACGAAGAGCACGATGGCGAAGTAGAGGTAGTGCACCCCGCAGAGGAGTGCCGGGCATGCGGAGGGTCGGACGCAGCTGCCGGAGCCAAAGGAAAACTCGGGAATAAGGCGCGCCAGGCCCATCAGCAGGCCCCCAATCAGTCCCCAGAAGGCACCCTGCGGGGGAGACGAGCGTCAGCCTTCTCCGAGTGAGGTCGGCCCTGCGCCAAGCGGACAGCTCCGCGCGTGCTCACCTTCTCGTTGACGCGGGGCACGAAGAGCGCCAGCACGAAGACCGCGGACAGGGGCGGGGCCAGGTAGCTGGAGACGGCCTGGATGTAGTCGAAGAGCTGCCCGCCCTGGGCCGCCTGCACCACGGGCAGCCAGGCCACCGACACCGCCACGATGAACACCACCCAGAGCCTGCGGCGGGCGGCCATCAGACTTCCCCGGGCCCCTCTCCCCAGCCCTGCCAGTGCGCCGTCCCCTTCCCGGGGTGACCGGGCCGCACCGTCCTACTAGCAGCAGCTCGCGGTCGCCCGCGCGAGGCCGCAGGCGCGTGTAGATGTCCATGGTGAACAGGGTGCTGCTGCTGTTGAAGATGGAGGCCAGCGAGGACATCAGCGG